TCTTCTCTTCTCCCTACACAGGCGATCAACTTTATCGGAGCCTGACTAGATTCGACGTTGGCAAGAGCTTTTCTTCCTCAAGACAGACAACATGCTATTGCTCGGTGCATCTCTCAGATCCGACAAGCAAGAACCGTCCCCGCCCAGTCTATCCAGAGCCTGTTGGGACACATGTCCGCATCCATCGCTGTGGTTCCGCATGCCAAACTCAGGCTACGTCCTCTTCAACTGTTCTTCAACGGGATGTTCCAACCACAGACAGATCCACTTACCAAACGGATTCGACTCCCGACTTCCGTTCTTCAGTCCCTGTTATGGTGGATAGAACCAGCCAATTTGAATGTCGGTGTTCCATTTCGACCCCTACAGTAACCCTCGGTACCAACGCGTCTCTGCTGGGATGGGGAGCCATTTGCTCTGATCTACGTACCCAGGGGGTATGGAGTCACCGGGATTCCAGGAACCACATCAACTTCCTGGAACTTCTTGCTGTTTTCAAAGCCCTGCAATCATTCGAGGACCTTCTTCTACACCACGTTGTCCAGGTGACCTCAGACAACATGGCAACGGTCTTTTATTTGAACAAACAAGGGGGAACCCGGTTCCGAAAACTAGCCCGCCTATCCATGCAGATTTGGGACTGGTGCATACCGAGAGGTATCACTCTTCTCGCAGTTCATCTTGCGGTCATGGGCAATATAGACGCAGATCTCTTGAGCAGACATATGTCGCGGCCACACGAATGGGAACTAGACCGTCGGGTTCGCGACAAACTGTTTCACTGATGGGGCCAGCCAGACATCGACCTGTTTGCCACGCAACAAAACAGAGTATGCACGAATTATTGTTCCAGGGTGGGGCTAGGACAGGATTCGTTTGGGGACGCTTTCATGATCCCCTGGACAAATATGACTTTTTACGCTTTCCCACCGATTCCCCTCATCATGAGAGTGTTGGCAAAGATCATTCACGAAGGGGCCATGGGGCTGCTAATCACCCCCTGGTGGCCACGCCAGCCATGGTTCTCAACTCTCCTTCACATCTCTCGGGGGAATTTCTCCAACTCCCTCTTCTTCCTTTTCTCATTACCCAGAGGGAGGGCACTATCTGACACCCAGACTTGTTGTCGCTGAAACTGACTGCATGGAGGATACGATAACCGTATGTGATGCACCGGTGTCGACACCACCGGCGATCCCTGCTACCGCTACTCCACAGAGTTTACATCCAGACCTACGGTATATTCTCGGATCTGTGCTACGACCATCCACTAGAAAATCGTATGCAGCGAAATGGCATAAATTCTCTAGCTTTGCCGATCCACACTTGTTTCCGGCGTCCTTGGCTTCTGTTCAACAGATTCTTCAATTCCTCTTCGAATTGCATCAGTCTGGACTTAAACCTTCGTCCATAAAAGTTTATACGGCAGCGATTTCTCATTACCGTGGAACTATCCATGGTCTCTCCATTTTTTCTCAACCTTTGATTAAAAGATTTTTGAGAGGATTGAGTAACCTCCATCCAACAATAAGGCCCCTGATGCCCACTTGGAGTCTTTCAGTGGTTTTACAAGCACTGACTCGATTGCCTTTCGAACCCATGGCGACGATCGATCTACGCCTTGTCTCATGGAAGACTGCCTTCCTCGTTGCAGTGACTTCAGCCCGTAGATCTTCTGAACTCTGTTCCCTTAGGGTAGATCCCCCTTTTCTGAATTTTCATAAGGAAAAGGTAGTTCTATGCCTGGAGTCGTCTTTCCTTCCAAAAATCGCTACTTCGTTTCACATGCAACAGGAGATCATTTTACCAGCATTCCAACACCTTCGAATCCAATAGAGAGATCTCTGCATATGCTGGATGTTCGTCGTTGCTTAGCCTTTTATAGGTCCAGGACTGAGTCTGTTCAACGTTCCAACAGACTTTTTGTGAAATACTCAGAACATGACCGACGCTGTCCGGTCACTTCCCAACGACTTTCAAAATGGATAGTAAATACAATTGTCCTGTCTTATCAGTTAGCTAAGTTGGACTTGCCATCTACTCCAAGAGGTCATTCTACAAGAGCTGTTGCTGCTTCTTCAGCCTTTGTATCAGGGGTCCCGATAGAAGATGTATGCAGAGCGGCCACTTGGGCTACCCCGTGTACCTTCGCCAGACATTATCGACTCGATGTCCGTGCCAGACAGGATTGCTCTTTTGGCAGAGCTGTTCTTTCTTCTGTCCTTCGTTGATGACACCTCCCTCCTCCAGTTGGGGTAAGCTTGTTATTCTACCCATATGTGTGATGCACAGAGGCCACGACAAAGAAGAGCAGGTTGCTTACCTGTAACTGATGTTCTTCGAGTGGCCATCTGTGCAGTCACACATACGGGGTTCTGTGCCTGCGCAGTGCCTTTGGCCGGAAGATTAACAGCTAACGGTTTTTGGTAGGAACGCCGCTCCCCCTCCCCCCTAGCATTATATAAGGAGCGGAGTGCCTACCAACCTCCAACTGATGTTCTTCGAGTGGCCATCTGTGCAGTCACACAACCCACCCTCTGACCCCGCTTGGTGTCATGGGTGGTCCGACTGTCTTCTTTCGATACTATGATCTCTTTAGATATTTGTCGTACCACTAATAATTTGGTTCTCTTGTCATGCTGACAAAACTTTATTAAGGGAACAAATGTCGGTCTTTCAAAGAGTGGAAAATGGTGGACACTCCGCTCCTTATATAATGCTAGGGGGGAGGGGGAGCGGCGTTCCTACCAAAAACCGTTAGCTGTTAATCTTCCGGCCAAAGGCACTGCGCAGGCACAGAACCCCGTATGTGTGACTGCACAGATGGCCACTCGAAGAACATCAGTTACAGGTAAGCAACCTGCTCATCTGAAACCAACATAGCTTCTAGGGATATATGCAGATTATGTGAATGGATGTTGGTTGCTGGTATTTTTTAACTGTAATAAGCGCAAATGCCAGGCAGAGGAAAGAAATTATGATATGAGAGGAGAGGAGATGATGATGAAAGGGTGTTTCTCCTTTTAATGTTTATTTATTTTGTTTGTTTGAAATGGTCAGAAGACTTACTCAGTAAATTTGTTCCATATGTTCAGTCCTGACCAGATCAAATAATTCCAAACCAAAACTGTGATAAAGGCAATAGAAGTAAGCAATTATATATGACAAGTTGCTCTATTATGGCTTTGTGTAAGCATGATTTGGAGTTCAGCATTTTTTGAGATAACAATTAAAAATTTCTTATACTTTGGCATAGTCTACTTTCCATACACTTATTAGTGGATGATGGTTAGGGGAAAGCTGATTATTGCATACATTGTAGCAAAGCTAAACAGTAGATATTTGGCTTGATATAAGTAACTAGTGAATTCCAATTGATTCCCTTATAGGTAATGGACGGCATGTGCCACAAAAGCCTCCTAGAGGCAACACGCGTGGTTCACCCCAGTTAGTGATTCCCCCACCCCCACCATACCCTCCTCCAGACACAGATACTATGGACCCAACTGTATTGTACAGTGAAGCAGATGTTACAGACTCAACCAAGCTGGTACCTAAACGTATGTTTGAATAATTGTATATTTCTGTTTCTTGCTTCTCTGACAGCAAAGTGTGGGGGTGGGGGGGCTTTTCCAGACTTTCTTCTGTTCTCTTTCCAGTCATACATGTTTTTTTTCCTTTCCAACCTGTTAACTTTTTAAAGTACTCAATGCATTATATTAACTTAACTAATTAATATATTGAATCCAGCAGTGCCAAATCTTTATTGATAATAATCATTATCATGTGAAGATAATGGTTGCAAATATGATGTTTCCTCCATTTTTATGCTAAAATTGTGAGTTTCATTATGTAGTGTTTGTTACATTTAAGTTTGTTTTGCTCTCCATTTTTTAAAGTTTGTTTCGTTTTCCACTTTTTTTTATTACTTACAGCTTCCAGATAATTTGGCACTGCACAGGTAAAACCCCTTGGTTTTACTGATAACCTGGCCATTAGGAGGAGTATATCTAGTGCAACTTTGGAGCAGAGGATTCAAAGATTAGTGTCAAAAGTTTTTTTAAGTAGGACTTTGCCTGATTATAGAAATATCAAAATTTTTGTGTGCATGCAAACTAAAATTCATATTTTATAGGAAGCTTGTTAGAGGAATTCATGGCTTGAGCTCTTTTCTTATAGTACTTGCTAGGGAACAATCTCAAACTTTTAAAACACTTAGGTTCTGTTCAATTCTACCCTGGCCCTCATGATGGAGAGGGGAAAGTAGCATCTGATTCAAGTCACAGCTCCCCATTTTCCCAGCCCACATGGCCGATGCCATGAGGATAAGGGTCCAGTAAGATTCAATAACATCTGAAGACCTACAGATTCCTATCCCTGCTTTATACTTGAGATGGAATTCTGTAGAACCCCTACAATCCTATAGGTCTCCAACCTATTTGCATACCTGAGTTGTGAATCCTCATCATGCAGTGAAAGAGCAGATGAATGCAGCCTGTCCTGTCTCCAATGCAGATATAGAACATTTGGTAGGAAAGCTTCATTGTATAAGTTTGAGTTCACATGACCTTTCCTCGGTTTTTGAGATGAAAAAAATTGCATAGATTGGGCTCATACACCTATGGCCCTATATGCAGAGTCCTTGTGTCTTTTGGTCCCTTACGTGGGAGGCACACATCCAGATAGGTGTATAAAACAGAACTAGGTAATGGAAGAGAAATAAATAATATGTATAAAACATAGGATTAATTTAAGTTCAGGGTTAGGAGATTCAGGGAGTCCTCATGAAAGACAATTTTAGTGGATTCATTTGAATACAAATTTGAAAATTCTCACATCCCTCTTCCAGCTTTCTCAGGTGTTTTGCCACCCCAAAATAGTAACCCTGTTGGGGTGACTGGCAATTTTATGGACCCTGATGGGTGCATGACCTTTTCCCCTCTGAGGCTAGTTTTCTAATTTCGGAAATGTTTGCACAGTCGGTAATGCTCTATTTGCACTATTGTAGTTGTACTGCTGTATTTCTTAGATGTAAAAGATGGAACAGTTCCATACATGCACAGTCCATTTACAATAATGGCTCTGTCGCTGCAGTTTCAAGCTTTCATATGTTGTTACAAAGGCCAGTGAGGGAAGGAAGGATGTGGTGGTTAAACTTGCATTTAGGATACTTAGTTTCAGATTCCATTTTCGGAATTTTACAGAACATCATCTGGACAAGTTGCCATCTCACAGCTCCTCATTTAGGAATAACTAGAAAAACAGTGCAGCAAGATTGCTAATGGAGACTGGCTTATGAGAACATATTACACTAATCCTGCTTCCGTTGCACTGGCTGCCAGTTGACGTCCAGGCCCAAATCAGAGTGCTGGCATTAACATTTAAAGCTTGAGGCCAGCTTATCTGAAGGAATGCCTCATCCCATATGGAACCTGAAGTAATCTTTGGGGGTCCTTCTCCAGGAGCCCACTCCAAAAGATGTAAGGAGTTGACTACCAGGAGAAAGCCCTAATCAATTATGGCTCCCCAGCTATGGAATGAGCTCCCCAAAGAGGTGCACCTATTCTGTATTCTTTTTGGCATCATGTGAAATCCTTTTTTTCCCAGTATTTTAACAGTTCATTTTTTAACTTTAGTTTTAATATTGCATTTTATCCTGTACCACTGCTGTCTCTCTATGCTGATTCAGTCACAATTGCTGTGGTTTTATTCTCTCATTCTTGTTTGTGTTTTTAACTTTTGTTAACTACCAGAGAGCCTTGGCTAATGAAACACACACCAGGACCCCCATATCCACAGGAATAGGTTCCAACCCCCCCAATGGATGCCCAAAACCATAGATAATAGCAAACACTATATACTGTACATATACAATTGGTTTTTTTTTCACAATTTCATGGATAGAAGATACTTCAATATTGATAGCCTATTTAGTTTCATTTCCAAGCATATATATACACATACTGTGTATGGTATTAGTATTACTAGTACATGCATTTTCCTCCTTTAATTTACTAATATGCTTTTTTCTAACTTATTATTCTGTCTTTGATTGCACTTTTATTCTGTGGATATCTTAAAACAGTGTTCTGTTGCATGCATATTTTGCAAAAACTCTAATAAATGAGTACATTTACTGGAAATTAATATCCAGTAACTTCAGTGAGACTTATATCCAGGTAAACACATTTAGGATGGAACCTAACAGTGCAGTCCTATACATGTCTGTGATTAGCACTTATTCCAAAGTATTTATAGGATTGCAGCCTGTTTCACTGAATATTGCTTTGTCTGCAGTAGGAGATGCCCTTGTGAAACATTTTGAGACATGGTCTTATTTAGACGTGATGTGGTCATAAGGTGTCTACTCAAAGTTAGATCCAGAAGGAGTCTGAGCCTTGCATGTTCCGAGGAGTGGTTATATGAGAACAAAAAGAATGTTCCTGTAAAACATTATTTTACTGCATGGAGGACATTTTTCAAGGAACCCAGAGCTATTGTGAAATGCTCCCCAAACTGCTGCAGCACTTGCATGTGATTAATTTGGAAGAAGGCATTCTGCCAATATTTTTCAGGTGCAGATTTATTTCCCAGTTTAGATTGGGTCTGACCATTAAAAACAACAGTAGTAATTATTCTACTGCTTTTGCTCTGCTGTCCTAGGTGTGGATGTTAGCAGAGCTCCTCTTACATCCAGCCCACCATTGTTATTTTCCTCCACACTGGCCACTGCCGCTGCCACTCTGTGGCATTGTAAGAAGTGACACCCGCCATTGACCTCCACAGTGCCCCAGAATGGCACAGCATTTGGGAGATGGGAGCTGAGCTGCTGCTGCTGTTGTCTATGGTAGTCCTGAATTAGAGAAGGACCACCCCAAGTACTGGTATTGCTGCTCACCCCTCAGATGTTGGAGTTCATTTCACTACCCCCAGTGGCTGGAATGAATGAAATTTTAGGGCCCACATGTCACTTCCATCACTTATTCAAGCCAAATGTTTTGACCAAGAGCATTTGTCTCATCCTTGCTTTGAATTTCTTTAGTTTGACTGGAGATCTGCAGAACAATGTGTCTGCTGAGAATACTGATGTTGTGGTAGAAGATATAGATGTGATTCTTTTTACAAATATTGAGTTGTGTTGCCCATGCAAGCAGCAAGCACAAATAAATGTGTTGATATAAAGTACAACCCAGTACATGTCTACTTAGAATTACTTATTAGAGTATACAAATGTAGCCTAAAGTACAGTTGGTGCAGTGTTTAATGTATTTGCTTTTTTCCTCCAACAGTTTATTGTTGTGCATCATTCCCTTCACGTTCCAAGCCCGTCTGACACAGTTTTCTCCTTCCTCTGGTCTCCATACTTCTGAAACCTGTTGCCTCTACTACCCTAGCTCTCTTTATGTTGCCTTTTCCCTTCCATATGGGAAGAAGTTCATTTTCCTCTGAATTGGATCTTTCTGTCTCTTTCTTCTGAACTTGCACATGTTCATTTAGTATACAGAAAAGTTTTCAGCTAAAATTCATTCACATATGTGAGACTAATTCTCTGTAGGACTATAAAGAAATTGTTGTAACCTGTTCAGTATAATGTTGATTCAAAATGATGAATTATTTGTAAGCTTAATAGAACTAGAATTTAGTTTGATTAAGATGTTAAAGTTTTTCATACATGCAACTGTTTGCTGAAAACACAGTCTTTTCTGTGTATTTTTGTTTGTTTATTTGTTTCTCTTTTGGCTTATAAGGCAGTACTTTTCCAAACACATGAGATATTTTCTTTATTCATATTGTTCTGTGCCATTTGAATGAACCAGCATTTGGGTGTGCCTTAATCAAAGCTAAAATACAAGGTGCCTTCCATTGGTTTCCCCACAAATAATAAGCAATTTAAAGAGCAGTTCTCTACATGTCTACCCAGAAGTAAGCTCCACTGAATTTAATTGGACTTATCTACAAGTAAAAGTGTATAGGATTGATAGGTTAAAATGGGCCCCTTCAAATGTTTTAGGCTACCACATCCCAGAATCCTTGGCTTTTGGCCATGCTGCTTGAGGATTATGGGAGCTCCCATCCAAAATATTTGCAGGAGACCATGTTGCCTACCTCTCCTTTAGGATTTTGATCCCACATATGAGCTTTCCTATGCCTGGGCCCTTCAGCTGCTTTGGACTTCAGCTCCCAGCATTCCTGATCATTGTTCCTGCTGGCTGAGGATGATGTGAGATGATGGCCAAGATATCTAGAGGACACCAGGTTGAGGAGGACTGCTATACATAATCAGTGAGGAATAGGACCCCTTGAATTTAGTACCACTTATTTCTGAGTAGGCACATATGGGATTATATTGTGAGGCTTTAATTCTATACACACTTAGCTGGAGCCCAGTGAAAATGGTGCGACTTACATCCAAGCAGATTATGTATAGGATTGTATTGCTAAGATTCTGTCAGTCATAATAGTAAACCTGTACAGAAGCACACCACTGCATTCATTCAGTCTTTTTTCCTACTTTTAGTAGGAAAATAGTATGCTATTGCCACCTTTAACTGTCTTATGG